TCGTTGGCAGCCCCTCTTGCTACTCTAGGTAGTTGGTTCCTTTTTCTGTAGTTGAGGGTATTTGCCATCTTCTATGCATCTTACTGCTGTTTTCTTATGCTTCACTGTGAGCCCCTTAGAAGCAGACTCCATGCTTGTATTATCACTGCTCCTCAGAGGACTTGGTACAGAGTTGTATTGAACAGACGAGCACGTGTCTCTTCCCTTTAATTCCGTAATCACTTTCCTCTCTCATTCTTTTCCTAATGGAATTGCTTGTTAGTTATAGGAAACTTAAATTCCTATTAAAGTCTTTTAAAACTGAGATTGGGGAATTGATGAGGCCTATAATTGGTAAAAGAAACTCTGACCTAAGGTACTTGCCTAATGAAAGAATATGGTAGGAGGGCAGTGGGAATCGTTTCCCTTAATAGAGGAGATGAAGATTTGATGCTCATAGTACCAGTTTATTAGGCAGGAAAACGAATGCTATTATTTCACTGAAGAAATGGTCTGTCAAGAAAGTTCATCCACTCTATAAGCTGAGAGACGACAGGCTTAGAAAATCACAGCCCCTTTACTTAGGTTAACGTGATTACATGAAGATTTATCTTTATTATAACATTTTACTTTATATAACTTAACTTTCTAGACTGAACATTGGTATTGGACGTAGGTTGCTGGCTTCACTAGCAACCAAGAAGATGCTTCAGGTTCCTTGGAAAATTCTATTAATTGAGAAATAATCTGATTTTGTAAAAACAGACAAACACTGTTATCAGTATTCTGTAAGCATGACTCTGTTTTCTGTGTGTCTACTGTAGTTTTCTCACACTACACACTGGACCAGATTTTGAAAGTTGAGCCCAAAGAGCTAAAATAGTGAAGTTGGCCTTTAGTTACTTTCCATTTCCTATGAACCCCTCCTCAACCCAAATCCATCTTTCCTCTAGACAGGGGCTGGGCCCCTTGATGATGACTTGTGATCCTAAAGAAGAATTAGTCTCTTTCCATCCTGTCTTCCCCATCTGCGCAAATGACCCCAATTTCTCTGCCTCACACCAAAGCTCCTGTTCCCTCAGTGTCTCTTTTTTCAACTAGATTAATGAAGAAAAACATGGATTTGCCATGAGTAATAACACCTCAATGTGTGGATCCAAAGGTATTTGCACTTTTAAAACAAAAATTCCTGGAAAGAACAATATCTTAAGAGTAATAAATCACTAGTGGTGGAATTTCAGACACAACATTAATCCATATCATATTCTAAAACACCCATCATGCACCTACTGTATATTCTAATGATGCTAGAATAAATTATTGGAATTAAAAAATGCTCATATATAGCTTGTAGTTTACTAAAGTATCAGATTTACTTATTAAGGTCTGGTTTCAGTTTGGGGCCCAGAAAAGTACTTCCAAGTGCCCTGCAAAGCATCATGGGAAACTCTCTGTGTCTTTCTCACTTCAGCTGAACCCTCTGGCTGACTCTACAGTGGAAACAAACATGAGCTTGGTGTAGATACCTTAGAGTCAGTATATTCAAAATGATCTAATTTTTTTCCTTTATTTGAGATGTAGTCTCTTCTTTATTTCCTGTCTTGGTTGAGAAACATCACTAAACAATCAATTACTTAAGCCAGAAGGAGGTCATCCTAGAATATTATTTTTCCTCAACTTCCATATATATCCAGTCACCAAAACTTATACATCCTATCTCTTATCCTCACTGACAGTCTTCTAGATTAGTTTTGGCCTTCATCATCTTTACCTCAGATAAGTCAGATGCAATAGCCTCCCATCTGATTCTTCCAGTATCCAATGTTGTTCTCCACCAATTCATCTTCTATACTTCTAACAAGTTCCTAAAGCATGAATCCTCCCATCATTCCTCATTGCCTGTAGAATTAATTCCAAGCTAAGGCAGCCCGGCCAGAGGGTCATGGTTTGGTTCCCGATCAAGGCATATGCCAGGGTTGCAGGCTCTATCCCCAGTGTGAGGCATGTGGGAGGCAACCAATCAGTAGTTCTCTCTCATCATTGATGTCTCTCTCCTCTCTTTCTCTCTCTCTCTCTTCCTCTCTAAAATCAATAAAAAATTTATTTTTATTTTTAAAAGATACATCCCAAACTAAGGCAAATGAGTCATCCCTTTATGATCATGCTTTGTCTCCTGACATTCACCTATGGACTTCTATGTTCCAGCCCCCTTGAGCCCCTTGTTATTCTTCAAGATCTCATGTTTTCTTGCAGCTTTGACATGCTTCTGTATATGTTACTCTCACTACTTGAAATGCTTCCCCCACCTAAGGCCATTCCTACTTATCTGTCAAAATTCCATGCAGGTACAAGCTCCTCTGTGAGACCTTTCTGATTGCTAGGATCTCTAGGCAGAATGTGTTTCTCCCTACTTTGTATAGCAATTAGACTCAATGTATACTTTTATCATAACATTTATTGCCTTGGTTGACAAATGCTGAAGTCTTTGTTCTCTCTAGTAGACTGGGAAGAAATTGAGAGCAGAGTCTGTGCTATTTATTTATTATTATTATTTTTGTATTACCTAATACAGTGTACTTGGCCTCTGGTAGGTACTCAATAAATATTAAAAGAATAATAATCACAATTAAATGAATTGGTCCTTCATTATATATGAGGTTGGTTCTAACCACTTTAACTTGAATTATTTTTATTAAATCCCTACAACAATGCTTTGAGGCAAATAATTGAGCCAGTGCTTTTAGTGTCTTGTGTCACTGTCCTTTGACTCAACTCTGACCAGTCATTGCTGTGGAGACAATTTTGTGTGAGCTCAGGCTCATGCTGAGTGTCTCCCTCAAACACACTGTATGTCAGTCTGCCTTCTGTCTCAGGCCTTCTCCAAAGCTGTAGGAAATCACTAGAGCTGCCTGTGAGCTTGGCAGGGAAGATTTAACATTCTCAGGGCAACCCTCAGGCAAAGGTGCACAAGAGCTGGTGGGTTAATTCTCCAGCCTCCCTGCCTTTGGATCGACAATTCTGAGATATTCTGTACACTCTCAGAGGTCCCAGATGAACCAGGCTGCCACGGCTTACAGAAGCAGCTTCAGTACTTTCTACCCGTATAGCTCTGTCTCGTTCTTGTAATGCCTCATGCCAAGTTTAGTAAACAAACGATTTACACAAAGGATCCCATTAGGTTCTGTTTTGGGGGAACCCAATAAGACAAGTACTACTATTATCCCCACTGTATCAGAAACAGAGTCACAGGAAGGCTAAAATGTTTGTTAGGCTCTTACTGCTGGAAAATAAGGGAGATTGGGTTTGAACTCAGTCAAACTGCAGAGCCCATTTTCTTGACTAAATAAAGATTTACTAAATAAAGATTATAACAGATATAGGAGTCTCAAACTGCATGATGTAAGCTACCTACCCTAATTGTGTATAAAACCTGTATTTGACAAATTAAAATTCATATTTTCCTCTAGGTTTAGAGTACAAAGCTATATTGCTTCTTTTCCCCCTCCTAATAACCACTAACTCGTTCCATGACTTTGACTTTTGGTAGCTCTAGTCCCCTATCTGGGTCTCGATTTCCTGATGTGTAGAATAGGGTGTATTCTACCTGTGTAGAATGTAGAGAATAAACCTAATGTGTAGAATAAATGGGAAGTGGATATTTCTGCTTTCTTTAGACTCATTAAATCATTTAAGAATCAATGGAAATCTCTGTATGTTATTCCCACTGTCTTTCCTCCTCAAATGCACGTGCACAGTATATTCATGATTTCCCGTGTAATTTCTGGATCTGGCATTATCTATGGACCTTCTAGGTTTAAGAACCCATGAACATGATCTCTAAATTCCATTCTAACTCTAGCCTTCTATGGTGTTAGGAAAGGAAGCACTCATTGAATTCATTTTGCTTAAGATTTTTCTATGAGAAAAGCGTTTATGCCTCTTGCTAATTACCAGACTCACCATGAATGGTTTAATAAGAATCCAGGTGACTTTTAAATAGACATTAGTGAGAAAAAGCAAATGTGTGTATTTTACTTGCATCTTATGCTGTTATTATTCTATGTTTGAATATCTTTTTAAACCATGGCAGTGGATTATGTCAGTGATTGACTGATGGACTGTACCCTGTAAATAATGTTTGCTCTACAATATAAATAAAATTAAAAGTATTTGGAGCATGGTTAATTAAATGGGTAGGTATTAACATATATTTTTATTACTGATTCCAGGATCCATAATTAGGATGTTACTGCAGATGTTAGATTGCTCTGTACTTTTTTATAGGAGGCTATATTGATTTAATATCTCTATTTTCTTTAGAGAAAAATAATCTCATTAAGAATCTAATGGGATGGAAAAAACTAACAGGCCAACTTGAATGAATTACATATTTATTTAAAAAAATAGCACCTTGTTAGCTGGACAAGAATGGTAGCTTTGATTTACATCACATTCTTACTATGTTTTCATAAAACCAGTACCTTCTGCTGACAATTTCCTATACATTTTCATGCGTTGAAATCCTAGCTTAAACAAGACAGATAATAATGATTTAAAAATGCTCAATTTTAATCCAGGATACATAGATAAAAAATGTTGGCATACTATGCTGTCCCACTAGTTTAGCTAATGTTTCTCTTAAGAACTCTAGGAATTATGATGGCATTAGCAATGAAAATCCAGTACAGTATTCTAAATCTAACCCAAAGAAACTCAATTTTATTAATTTTGTTTTGAACTAAACTGATTCTCGGCTGATTGAGAGGATGGTGAGGAGATCCATCTATTCCAACCACAAGGGTCACCTTCCATCTGTCTACTGATGCTCTTCCTCCAAATACAATCAAAGTGATTGGTCCAGTCTTGCATTCTGCGCTGTATTTGGAGAGAGTGTTTTGGTGCAATCCATCACTCAGTGTGCCTGAGGACTCAGAACACACTTAGGTGACCATGACTCTTGTGTTATATTTCACAGCATTACAGATCCAGCCTTCATCCCTCTTCTATATCATCTTGACTCATAAACATCTTGTAGACTTCAGCTGTCTTGCTAGTCCCTCTGGACCCATGGTTAGTTGTTTCGACATTTCCATTTTCTTGCTAATCTCTATTACCCCATTGTCAGCTTTCTTTACTATCAGGCAACCAAGCTTTGTTGCAGAAAGCCATGAAAATTTTGGGGCCAAATCTTTTTCATTATTTTTAAATACTTAATTAGTCACTCGCCCCAAGAGTAGATGACTTACTCAACTTTACTGAGAACACATATTTCCCTTGCTTTAATGAGTTCATAGTCCCTTATGGCTTTTCTGACCAAGTTTGACTTCTTAGCTTCATATTCAAAACCCTCCATGCTCTGGCCCCAACCTCTGTGCTCTTGTGTATATATCCAAAGGTCTCCAGTGTCTTAAGTTTCCTGAGGAGCTCTTGTTCTTAGGTAGATTCTGATCATCATCCATGGTAGGAGGTGGGAGGGTGGGAATGGAGAGGATGGCTCTGACTCTCTGGGTGTTGCATAATAAAGAAACCCTCAGAGATCTAGGGTGTCTCTTGAGAATCTTTCTTTTTTTTTTTAATATATTTTATTGATTTTTTACAGAGAGGAAGGGAGAGAGATAGAGAGTTAGAAACATCGATGAGAGAGAAACATCGATCAGCTGCCTCCTGCACATCTCCTCCTGGGGATGTGCCTGCAACCCAAGTACATGCCCTTGACCGGAATCGAACCTGGGGCCTTTCAGTCCGCAGGCCGACGCTCTATCCACTGAGCCAAACCGGTTTCGGCGAGAATCTTTCTTGAAGAATAATGATTCTCTGGGTTCTAATATGCTCCTAGGAGAACAGCTAGTTCCTCTTTGTTCTTGTCAAAATAAGATGGTTATGTTCACAGGGTGGGGTCCAGTGTCATCAGAGCCCCAAATAAGGTATTTCTTTTTTGTTTGAAAGTAACCATAAAATCAACAGCTTCTTTGATGTCAGCCCAGTATGATGCTGTGCCAGCTATTTTCTGACAGTTGCCTTGAATTTTTCATTACTGTGGAAAGCAAGAAATGACCTCTGAGGGTCTCACTATCTGTTTGATGTATGTGTTCATTCATACACCTTTCAACAACCGTTTTAAAAGGGTCAGAAAAGAAACACAATGATTTTGGTAAGAAAAGAGCTGTTATTGTTGTTTTTGGTTTATTTCTAAGTGTTTACTTAAATGTACAGATTAAATGCGGTTTATATTTTGGATGTAAATTATATGTAGTATTGCATACACATACGTAATTTTGTCTGAGACATTCAAAAGGAAGAGAAAATGTCTTGAGAATGTGCTAATCCTTTTTTTTTTAGGAAAGAAAAATGTATGCTCTCATAAATTAAGTAACAAAATTAGCATTTTGTCATAACTTTTTGAACTTGAAATAAAACATCTTAAAAGTGGATATACTCAAAGAATTTTAAACAGCAGATTATAGCTTTTAAGGAGCTGTCAATGAATATATTTAATCATTAATTTCCTCCAGAAATTTGTTTCCTTCTTGTAAGAGCTGGAATAATTTTATCTGTCTTGACTATTTACTTTACTTTTTCTTGCTGATTTCCCCCACTCCTCCCTGCATTTTGAATGCTTCTTTTATTAAACAAAATTCATTATTGTCTCTGGAAAGTTTTCAGGCTACAGAGAGGAATAAGCATAACAATTGAACCTTAGTTACTAGTAGTAATAAAACTGACCTGGCACCACGTTTACTCTGATGGTTAGCTAGCACTTTGATTCCAGGTTCCTAGTTTCCTATTTCCTCATGACAGTCTTTATTCCTTCTTTAAAGATGCAACCGGTTCAAGTTGACTATGGTTTGAGTTCCTCCTTAAAATGTGATGTTATGTTGCATTGCATTTCTGAAGCTCAGTTTCCCTTCTCAATCACATGCCAATTTCTCTGGTGCAACTCTTCCATCTGTGTTGGCCAGGGCAATATCTTGGTGCTTTGTAATGTATTCTATTGTTTGTTGCTTGGTGTTACATCTTGTTATTGAGGGTTAAATAAAAAAAAGAGGGAGTTCATTAATATATATTGAGGGATAGTTCTCTTAAACCTATCATTTTTATTTCATAAGTAAAATATATTAGTAAGTTTCATAAAATTATAAAAGACTTCCATCAGCACTGACAAATTAATATATTTGGAAAGAGACTTAGAATATGTTTAGTTACAAGCTTTTAACCAAAATTCACAGTATTTATGCAAGTTTCTATTAAGAGTGTAGTTGCAAGCAGGTAGAAATTCATGCCTAGAGAATTTGAATGACTTTTCCAAGAGGACACATCTAGAGGCAAGCGCTCTGATGTTCTTTCCTCTGGCTCACCCTCTTCAGATGTATGATCCTCCCCCACCCGCTACCATATACACTGCATTCTACTTCAGTGATTAAAGAGAACATCTTGTTCTCCCTCTCTTAGAACAGTGTGCTGCAGTGGATTAGATCTAGGCTAACCAGGCAAGGAAAATGATGGAAAAATTTGGGCTGGCTCACTGCAAAGTGTTTCTGTAGGATTGCTTTACTCCTGGAAAGGTGCCATAAGCCAGCTTTAACCAGAGGAGGGTTAGCGCAGGTCAGCTATTTTTAATTCTTGAATAAATCCACCTCATAGGATTATTGTGTCTCTCAGACTTACACTGAGATTTTAAATCACTAAGATGATCTATATGTTCTCAAGGCTCTTCTGTACTTTAACAAACTGTGTGTATGTGTTTGAGGGTGGGTGGATGGGGAGGAGATAGTTGGAGAACTGAGGTGCGTGTGGTCATGGATTTATTTTGCTCAACTCTAATAGCAACCAGAGTGTTTTCAGGAGCCCATGGGCTCTAAATGCTCACAGGGGGGGTGCAGAATGAGGTCCGGGGCACCTAACACAGATATATAGAATGCATCAGAACAAACAAATGAAAAAAGTGTGGATGTGCATGTGTGCACTTAGCATATTGTTATGTGTCTCATGTTCTGCATGAGACACATAAAGGCATTAACCCCTAAACTGTGGGCTCACGTTTTGTAACCCATTTTTATTTAAAATTCCCTTGTGTCAAGGTTTCACATTGAATCTTGACGATCAGAAATGGTCATTTTTGGCTAGCAGGCTGGATTTGGCCAGCTTCCATGTCTACACAGTTGGCCTTGTGTTCTCAAAGGTTTTGAAATGGTTTATGTTCCACCCTTGGCTAAGACTCTTATTATCTCTCAACTGTCCCTATAGTGTGACTGATTCATATTTGAAAGGACAAAAGGTCAGAGCTACCCCAATATTCTATTGTAACAGGGAATCCATAACGCAATTCGCTTAATATAATATCTGACAAAGCAGGCTGTGTAATCTTTCTACCTCTGCCAGTGTGTGAAAAACAGAAAATAACAAATATCACACGTGCTTGGTGAGCTTGACATGACTTTCAAGTGAATTTTCCTAATATGGAATGGGCTCTAAAAATCTGTCACAGCGATGATTACTATGAGATGCACTATGAACATTTTTTAAAATATAAAATTAATTGAAAATAGGTAACATGGAAATATTGTTATAAATGCTAAAATGTCACATTTCTCCATCTTGCCCACATTCCATCATGATGTTTTTATTTGTAGAGACTTTCATGGTAAGCATTTAAAATTAGTCATATGAGCCTGGCTGGTGTGGCTCAGTGGTTGAGCATTGATCTATCCACCAGGAGGTCAGGGTTTGATTCCTGGTCAGGACACATGCCCTGGTTGTAGGCTCATTCCCCAGTAGGGCACATGTAAGAGGCAGCCAGTCGATGTTTCTCTCTCATAGATGTTTCTATCTCTTCCTCTCCCTCTCTCTCTAAAATCAATACAGATATATTAAAATAAGTTATGTGATATTATACATTCTTTTTTTCTGTTTTCAAAGTGGAAAACCAATATGCAAAAATATCCACAGGGACCTATGCACAAAACTTCAATCAGGTTTTCAATTTGTGGATAGCCTGAGGATGTCTGCTCCCCTGGCCAGAAGATAAAATGGGGAATGTTGCAGAATACAATGAAAAATGTTTGAGACACTTGGATATTAATTTATCCAATGGGAAAAAAAATTACTTTTTTTATGACCATGTATTCATTCAATAAAAATGTTGTGTTTGTACTGTGTTCTTCAAAAGATACTAGATGCTATATCCTGGCCCAGAAGGAGCTTATAGTCTGTGTCTTTGTATGTGAATGTGTGTATGTGTGTATGCACATACATGTTGCAAGATGGGGGGAGTGCAGATAGACAAGACAGTCGCTTTATGCTGTATTCGGGGTCTGCATAGGGTGCTAGGGCTAGTTTTTCTTTTTTGGGGGACAAACAACCCAACTGTGGGGAGGTTGTTCAGGGAAGAATTCTTGAAGGTATTAATGACCTCTGCAACCTGAAGAATGAAGGCAGTGTAGGCGGGGAAGGGGAATTGTGAGTGGGGAGAGGCGACTGGCAATGGTGTCCCTAGAAGTGGTAGCATCATTGTTGGGCCAAAAGCAAAAGAGAGCATAGTGTGTTCAGGGAACATTTTCTTTCATAAAACACTTATTTTCAATGGATTTTATACTAAATTATTATAAGAGCAGTTGGAATAATTAAAATGATAAGATTCACTTTTACTTTTTACAATGAACAGTTCTTATATATTGGGCTTCTTTACAGCTTTTCCCTTTTTTTTGAGCCGGGCATTGAAAAAATTTTCAGCATAATTTATTGCTCCTTAAGAGTATCTTGGCTCTTCAGCATATTTTCCTCTCTGGAGTTGACTGTGAAAGCTTTTATAAATGTTGACACTAACTTCAAGTATACTGCTGCCAGTTTGTATAAAACAATAACATTTCACAATAATATATGTACTGCTATATTTTTCTACCAAGTTCTCTGATTTTACATTCTTTTCTGTGTGTCTGTTTTGTGAGTTGAAAGACATTTTCTTTGTCTTTTTCACATGTGATATGGCAGAGAAGCTGTTAAAATGATTGATTTATTGATGTTTCTTTATATGATGGCATATTCCAGATTTAATGTGATGACATAAAAATTTC